CTGAAAAGTAGAAAAGTTACCCAGAGCTGACAACCCACCACACGGCTCCCACACAGCCACCAGCAGCCCAGCAGTGGCCACAGCAGCACCCACGGTGTGCCGCAGCCCGTGCCCACTCGAGTCCACTGCCCGAGCGCGGCATGCCACCAGCACGTTGAGTTACCGTGTGCCTGCCAAAGACAAAAACTAATAAATTCATCTCAGGTGAGTTAAAGTCTTTCATTTAGATTTTGACCTTTCAAAAGAAAATGAATAATGCATTTCAAAATAAAAGCTCATTTTAGACTTGAGAATCAAAACACTTCCTGCTGGAAATGCCACAGCAACGCATTGTAACGCTGAAGTTTTCTGATTCCTTAGGCGGAAAGACTACTGGGAGCAGCCCCTTTCCCTAAGGAGAGCCGATTCGCCCGCCAGCCCCTGCGTTGTGGAGCTGTCGGCAGCTCTCAGTGGGGCCACGGCTCGGAGGGCACCCAGGCTCCAAAGGGCTGTGGCTGTGCAATCGCAGCAACACACCAAGGGAAAATAAATTAAAAAAAATTTAAAAGATTGTTTTGAGGCTTGCTCTCACAGATTTCCCTGGCTGTTAAAGTTGGCACACTGCTCCCTGAAATCTCGGTGCCAGCAGCCGCCCCGTGGACGGCTGCCCTGGACTGCTGGGTTTTCTCTGCCCTCCTCCTCCAGCCCCACCAGACTCCTCGGGGCATTCCCGGGAGTTTTGACGGAATGGCAGCTTTCCCCGGTGTCACCATTGCAAGGCACTGGCATCAGCCTGCCAGTCACCCCAGGCTCCGGCAGCACCACCAGCTGCGCTCAGCGCCCAGAGCAGAGACCGTACACCAATAAATGCATAGCATAACAGTCCCTCGGTGTGTTGTTGGTTAATTGATAATGAAATTATGATCCGGGATATAATTGCCCAGAGGAGCTCCGGGCCGTGCGGCAGGCTGGCACGCTTGGCACAGGCTTTTTGCCAGCCTCCCGGCTGCGATCGTCCCCGCCATGGGAAGACAAGGTGCCCCACCGCTTGGCCAACGCCAGCCAAAAGGCGATGCATGGCTCCATCAGCGCGACATCATGTCTGCCGTAAGAAGGTGCCGCGCCGGGGGGGCCGACACTGGGGCGGCTTCCCGGCCCCCTCCCACCGCGCAGGGCGACGGCAGCCGACCTCCACCGCGGCCAAGCCTCAGCAGCAGGTTGCAGAAGTGTTTGCTTGGTGCTGCAGTGCCACTTCCAAATGCATCTATCAGCTTTCAATTTGGCAGAGACTCCAAATACTCATTTCAGCTAATAAAGCTACCCGGTAATGTCATATTACAAGGCTGGCAAGCTCCCAGCAAATATTATGGTGAGCCTTTGTTTAATTAGAGGTTTATCAGGCAGGAGCAATTTCCTCCTCGTAATGGGAAAAATAAGCTGGGTTTAAAAGTTTGAGCCCAATGAGTACCCTGCTGAAGCCCAGGCATGTCGGGAGCCCATTTCCCAGCCTGAAAGGGCATTTTGCTGCTGCAGGAGCTTTTGCACCCAACTCCTCCTTTTTTTTTTTTTTTTTTTTTTTTTTTTTTTTTTTTTTCTGCTTGCCAGTTTTTAGCAGCCCCTCCCTGCCCCAGGCACAGGTTGGGCTGGCTGGGCCGTACGGCTGGGAGCTGGGGGCAGATTTACTCACTCTTCTTATTCCTCCACTGCTCTTCTTGCAGTACCTCCCACCTGAAGACCTGGCGTAAGCCCCAGTGCCAAGGGCTGGGGACCCAGCGGTGCCAGCGAGCCAGCGCAGCTCCCGTGGGAAGGCAGCGCAGGCAGCCGTGCGCAAGCGTCAGGCAGGGCTTTCTGCCCGCTCCTGCCTCCCCTGGGTTCCAAACACAGCCCCCGAAGGGTTGTTTATTCTGAGGATCAGCAAAGTTCAGCCACCGCAGCAGTGCACCAATGACAACTCCTGTCGGGATAAGCAAATGCATTTTGAAGGGTTTTCCATCCACCCCGCTCAGGATGGGAAATGCCAGCGCTGGTTGGCAAAGCTCACGGAGAACACCGAGGCAGCGGGAGTGGGAGCCAAGCGGGAGCCGTTCCAGCACAGCCACCCCAGTCACCTCCCCGCAGCGCATCCACAGACGGGGAGAGCAGAGAAGGTGCCGGAGCAGCAGCGCAGCGGCACGTGTGCCGGCATCTCTCGAGGTTCCCGGCATCGCTCCGAGGCGAGGGGAGCCCACGTCCCGCAGGGATGGGCAGGCAGTCCCGTTGTGGGATGCCTCCAGGCAATGGCTACAAACCCCACTGGGACACAGGCACCTGGAGAGGCAAAGCACAAGTGGAATCAACCCAAGCCATGGAAAGCCTTCAGAGCACCCGGCAGTGATGCAGAGCTTTCCTGCCTTCACCTCCAGTCAATTCAGCGCTGGACCTCCACCAAATGAGCTCAATTAAGAGCCGCTGCGGGAAATTTCCCTTCCTTGGGAAATGCCAAAGCCACGCGGCCACACAGCAGCAGGGAATGGCAGCCCCTCGCCAGGTCCCTCTGAGGGTCCATCGGCATCAGCACCCATCAGCCACCCTGGAGCCTGCAGAGGCAGATTTAAGAGACCTGAAGCTGTCCAGCTGAGAGCATCGGTGAGGCGAAGGCAGCGATGCTCGTGTCCCCAAACGGTTCCGCCTGCTCCGAGAGGACAGAGCAGTCCCAAGAGTTATTGAAAACCATGGCAAGTGCTTCCCAATCTTTTCTTCCCTGTGCGTTTCGGTGATGAGATGTGAGCCGAGATTTTTTTTTAGGGTGAATTAATTGTATTATCACCGGAATCCAATTTGCTTCCTGACATGAATGAAATGGGAAGAGAACAACAAGCTGCATGCTAGGCACGCGGTGCTACGAGTTTATTGTCATTAGGGGGGACGACTTCATTAACAAGTGTGAACCCAAGAAGTGGCTCCAGCCCAGCAGAGCTGGGCAGCAGATGCTGCTCCTGTGTTTGCCCCATGCTCGAGCAGCAGCAGCATTTCCAAGGGCCATGGTTTTAATGCCCAGCAGCGCCGTGCACGGCTGCAGCCCTGTCTCTGCCAGGCTCTGGAGCACTCCCTGCATGCCTCATGCCTCTGCGGAGGCTCTTTGCTCTCTGGCAGGACGGGGTCTCACCCCCCCCAGCCCCCTGCCCGCAGGGCTGCACCTCTGCAGCCCCCACCGCACTGCACCAACAAAGCCACTCGGACTGACCGCCGTGGATTTGCTTACGTTCAAAGGAAGGAAATGGTTTAATTAAAGCTAATGTAATGAAAACAAACTTCCAGGCGCCAGCAGGGCAGATGAATGCCCTGCAAAGATTTCTGGGACTATCTGTGCCATAGGGAAGGTATTCCGGGCTGGAGCAGGTAGCATGGCTCCCACCTGTGATCCCTGCAGCCCACTTAAACTCCGCAGCTAAGTATAGGCATGTGTCTAAATAATCCAGCCACCTCATTACACCTTCACCATCCGCAACAAAGCCACCAGCATTAATCTAGGCTGGCCAGCCGGCAGCTCAGACCAGCTCCATCTCAGCGGGGACACAGGGCTCTGCAGAGCGTTTTCCCACGTAGCCTTGCACCACTAAGAAGTGACAAATTCTCACTGGTTTCTTAAACCAGTGCTGCTGGAGATTTTATTTACCAGCCCTTCCTCCTGGCCGCAGGCAGCGCCACAAAGGAGGAGCAGCCGTGGGTGTCCAGGTCCCTCCCGAAGGAGCTGGGACACAAGACACCTTCGTTTCCTAACAGGAAAGTCTTTTTCAACTTTTTACTGGCCTCACCAATTCTGCAGATTTCAGGTCGAGCGCACGGCTGTGCCACGGTTTCCAGGGGAGCAGGCAGCACCTTGTCCACAAGGCTGCTGCCCACCGTGCTGCTCACCAGGCACGCTGTACATGCATCTGCACGAGCCGTGCACTGCAGCAGCCGGTCGCATTTCATGGCAGCGCGGCTGCCGAGCTGCCAGCTCAGCTCGAGTCCCCGCATCTGCATCCCCTGCCCGCCAGCACATCATTTACCGTCGGCTGTGAACGCCTGGCACTCAAGCTGCCTCCTCTGCCATGGCCGAGGGTACAGCACCAGCTCATTCATAAGCCTCAAGAAATATCGTTGTATGAAAATGTAATGAAAGTTATTCAGCTAATCTACTTTAATAACCCAACTTCGGGGCCTCTCTGTGCTGCAGACAGCATAATCATTTTTAAAATATTAGCTGTCATTTCCGATCAGTCCTAGGGAGGCAGAGGAACTCGGCACACGACTTCATCGGGGCTACTAATTCACCAGCCTCAGCCCTGTAAAAAGAAGTGACACGGCGCTCACAGGGGCACAAGTCTCCTGGGGGCAGGGGGCTGCTCTGCCCCGACCCCCAGGACACTCCAGGGAATTGGGGGTGACACAGGGGACCCCCGGCACTCCCCACCGCAGGACGGATGGCACCGTAGCCGCAGGCAGGGCAAGCTCAGCACTTGCCTCCACAGGATGGGGATCCCGAGGGTTGCCACCTCCCACGGAAGAAAACGCCGCCAGAGTCTGCCAGTTCTGTGCAGCAAGTTTAATTGATCAAGGATGAGTAAAAAGTAACGAAAATGCCAGAAAACTACTTCAGTGTGTACAAAACTCATTGTAGAATATAAAATACTTTAAAAATATTCTGCAGAATCAGATCTGCAAATTTTTCAGTTAAAAAAAGATTCCAATGTGCCTAAAACATAGTAACGCTTAACAAAAATAAAGACATCCTGCGGTCACCACGCACGGCAACAAATACATTCGCTCTCCCCGATTCGTGCAGATGGAGCCGCGTGGCACCACCGATGCTGACGGCAATGCCCGGGCATCCCGGCGGACAGCGAGACCTCCCGGCTTGGTGAGGTGCTGACTGCGAGGGGATGGGGCTCACAACCCCCCGTCGGGGAGACGGGGCATTCCCGAGGCGGCACTGCCGGGGGAGCGGCGGTGGCGGCCAGCACAGAGACCAGCCGCTTTGCCGCGGCGGGGTTGCAGCCTCACTGGTAGACGACCTTCACGCAGAAGGTTTCCTCATTCTTGTCCTCATGGTCGTTGATGTGAATCAGGATCTCCTCCTCGCCCGCGCCCTGGCTCGGGGCAAAGCGCAAGCCGATGGTGTACACCTCGCCACCGGCGACCTGCGGGAAAACGGGTGGGAGGAGAGGCGGCGGGACCCGGCAAGGACCCCTCGACCTGCCCATCCTCCCCGGGCTAGCACGGCCCTCCTGCGGCAGCACAGCCTGCATCCCTACACCGAGCATCACTCCGCGCATCATGGTGTCCAGCTGGATGAGGGCGGGGGTCTGACAAGGGGGGAGGACCGGCGGCAGGAGGACGTACCTCAAAGGAGTCCTCCTTGAACTGCAGGAGGTCGGGCCGGTTGGTGTACAAGAAGTAGAGCCTGGGCGAGGGGTAGGGGTTGGTGTAGGTGATGCGCTTGTTGCAGCCTCTCCCACCTCCCACGGGCAGCGAGATCTCGAACGCCTGCGGGTTGAGCACAAGCCGTGGCAGTAGGTGGCACAGACCGCGGGACGGGCGGAGGGAACGACAGGCGCTCCCCCAAACCGACTACAGAGAAATGCCTCCTGCACCCACGCGCCGTGGGAGCCATTTCAGGGGCACATTGCCTTACGTCCCCTCCTCTCCCCTTCTACGCCTTACGCTTGATCTCTGCCAGCAGATATAAAGAAGCCACCTTTGAGCAAAAGCATCCTCCTCGCGCCGCCGCTGGCACCGGCGCGGCAGCCGAAGTAATTACGAGCCCGAATGACCGAGGGCCAGGGGAGCAGCTGGGACCGGCCAGCTCGTCCTCCAGCTAATTAATGGACGTCCACAGGGAGAGCCATGGCGCTCGCTCAGGTAACGCCCCGTGGCACCGAAGGCGGGCTGGCACTTGGCAGGATGCCGAGGCATCGGTTTAAACGCCGATCCGAACTTCCCCCGGCACCGAGGGTTTTGGGAAAACGTTTTTAAAAGGAACACATTAGCCAGAAAATCTAATTTTCTATCTTTCAGGCAAGGCCTCTGCCAGCACAGTGCTAATAGAAAGCAGCATGCTGTAGCTTTAATTTCACAACCGGGGATACTTCAGAGTTGACACTCCTCAGCATGGGACTGCCTTCGAAACCACCTGAAAGACGTTTTACCGCAGTCTGCAGCGAGATTATTTGAGCACCCGAGGATGAAACGTGCGCTCAGGGTGGCAAGCACCAAAAAACCCGTAGATGTAAAGAGAGGAAGAAGCAGGAGATGGCCCCGGGTTATTGGCCAGACTGCAACCGCCGGTCCGGTGCCGTCACCGCGTTTTTCTGGTGCAAGAGCCGCCGTACCTTGGAGATGAGGGGCTGCCTGCAGGACAGGCAGAGCAGCCAGGAGGACACCAGCTGGTGGGACTCCACGTCCACCAGGTTGAGGTAGATGAACCTGCTGCCGGCCCGCCGGGGTCTCACGCCGAGGTACAGGTCCTGGATGCCGTTGGCAGGGAGAAGGAAGGCGCCGTCCGGATCCACCTGCGGAAACCAACACCGGGAGCTGTGGCCGCCCGCGGCAGCCTATCGCACCTCCGCGACGTCCAGCTTGGAGTACAAACTAGACCTGATGATTGCTCTTAAAGACCTGTGCACCTACACCACCACTACCGAATCCCACCCACGTGAATACGCCGGGACCGGCTTCGTGTCGGGAAGGATAAGAGCCGCTCGGGGACAGCCAGCTCTCCCCAGCCCCGGGACTCCTTCCCCTCGCAGGCTTTGCCCAGGGAGACTTTTGCTTTTGTTTACGGGACAGCGATGGAGTTTTTGTGCCTTTCGTTATTGACATTCGCAATTACGGCCAAACGGATTCTAAAGAAACTGTTAGTCTTCAGATGGTCTTATTAACGCAGATAATTTGCCCTCTGGGGTTTCGTGCCGATGATCCTACACATGACAGCTCTAATCAAAAGATAATTATCGCAAACACTTTAGGGCTGCCTTTCCCGTTCCGGAGGGGATTTCACCAGGCTGGTCCAGGCCAGCCCCTCGCTTGCCACAGACCCGAGCCCACCCGCGGCGGGGGTTACCTCCAGCTCCTGGGGGTGGGAGGTGAACGCCTGCACCCTCCGCGGGGCCGGGGTGCCCCGCAGCAGCAGGGAGAGGCGGGAGAGCTGCCCAGCCGTGCAGCTGACATCCAGGCGCTGCAGCGAGTGCAGGTAGAACTGCCAGATCTGGACGGGTGCTGCCAGCCAGGCATCCCTGCAGCAGACAGACGGACAGGGCTCGCTGACAGCTTCTGCTAAGGAACCCGTATCAGTCCCACCCGTTCCCAGAGCATCATCCGACGCAGAGATAGCCTGGCTGGCTCAAAAGGCATTAGCTTGCACAGCGGGGATGCTCTGGCCGGGGCTTATTTAGAGGAAAAGAAAACCATGTAAAACCCTAAGCTGCAAAAGTTTTGGGAAGCCTCCTGCCCAGCTTTCTGCTGCTCAGCAAAGCCGGCTGGGCTCGGGAAGCCGCAAGCAAGGAAAGGGCAGCGTGAGCTCCCCTCCTGCCCTGCCACCACTCGGGGCTAGTGTTTCTCACTTTTTGGGGTCCTGCTACTTACGTATAAATAGCAACAAAGAACTTTTTGATCTGCGGGCTTGGTCCTCCGGCTACTTTTAAGAAGATGTCCTGCGGCTCCCCGGGCCCCTGCGTGCAAAAATCAGAGCATCGTTCCAACGGTTAACCTCGCGATCAAACCAGCTAATGAGGACTCCAGGGTTTCCTTCCCATTAACGGAAAAACCCGCCACCGACCCACTTACGAAAGCAGATGCTTTCAGCATCTAGTTAAACTATGTTATTAAGTTATTATACAGCTTGGCTGAGCTCTTCCAGTATTTTTAATTACAAAAGAGGACACAAACGACTATCGCATTCCAGGTCCGCATCTGTAATCAAATTTTGGCACATTTTCCCCAAGTTTTCTAACAAGCCGTAATCTAATTATCATACTAACGCGTTTCTGCAACGGCAATTAGCAACGACCCCTCATCGCCATCTGCACGTATGGGCTCAAGTTTATTTTTCCTTTCTACCTCCCCCAGCTGCAGAGCAAGCCCAGGAAACTCGTGCGGGGCATTGCAAAGCAAGGGCTGCGCTTGGGGAGGGACGCAGAGCGACGGCTAAGCTTAGCCTAAGGAGCACCTTGGTCCGGCATGGTCCTCCCCACCGCCTCAGCATCACCCAGTGGAGAGATGCTCTGCCGCGCATTCAGAGGATGCGCCGTCCCCCCGCCGCATGACTCCAGCGGCTGTGGAGACCCCGAGCAGTGGGGAAGGTCTATCCCACACCCGACAAAAGGCTGCTTTTCCCCAGCATCTTAATCATCTGGTATTTGCTCAAAAGAACAAGCCAGTACAGGCTGCCGCAGGATGTGGTAAGGGGCAATATTCAGCTTCCACCACAAAAGCCATGTGGCTCCTTTTAATTGGAGCAATAATAAAGGGCAATTCCAGCTTCATCACTGCCAGCGTTTCGCTACCACGGGCTGATACACAGGGATGCTCCGTGCGTGCGAGGCATTTCACCGCCGCCGAAAACCCCCAGCAGAAGGACACAAAGGACAGACCGATGCCAAAACGTAACCAGTACCATGTTTTTGGTTTCGCAAATGATGTCAGGGTCGCTGCAGCGAACAAACATCTCGGGCTCCCCCCCGGGCATCCCCACTGGCGCACCTGCAGAGGAGAGAGACCGAGGTGAAACCGTATTCAGCGTTTTCTGCGCTTGTGCTTGCTACCCTGCACCCCACGCAGCCGCAGCCCAGAATCCCTTATGCAGGGCTACCAGCAAACTACATGGGCATACTGGTGCAGGGAATTAAACATAAAATGAATGCAGGCAAGCGGATGAAGAGCGAGCAGGGAGCCCAAGGCTGTGAAAGGGCGAGGAAGCAGAGACGAGCTCTCTGGATGCCAACCGCACCTCCAGGGAGGCCCCAATGAACCCTGGACGCTGGCTAACGAGGAAGAGCCCGAGCCCCAACCGCGGGCTCACCGGGGAGCGTGTGCCAGGGAGGCAGCCGAATGGTCTTCTTTAGGAAGGTGAGCTCCGGGTGGTAGAATCGGAAGGTCTGGTCCACCACGTGGGGCTGCGGCTCCACCTTCACCCGCAGGATCGCGATGGGCTTCCCCCCACTCACCTGGAAGGAGACCTGTCCCGGGCGACCAGTGGGAGAGGGACGGAGTTTTGCAAAAGTGATGCTTCTCCTCCCGCGCGGCCCCTCGAGCGGCGTTTTCGCCCGGTTCCCTCACCTGGATGTGCTTTGTCTGCCCGGCCCTGCTCTTCCCCAGGGAGCGGGTGGCTGCGTCGGTGCCGGCGCCCAGCCCTGCCGGCCCCTGTGGGGTGCAAGAGCCGGTTGCCTGGGGATGCAGCACCGCTATGGCTGCACGGTGCTCCCCATGGCGGTACCACCCTGCCCTGCAGAGGCAAACACAGCCGAGGAAAATGCTTCCTACCGGGAACAGCTCAAAACGGGGGCTTGCACCTACCTGCGCCACAACGACGGCGGGGTCCGCGGAGAAGGTCTGGTATTTGAAGGGGATGCGGACGGTCTCCTTGGGGCGCAGGTAGACCTGAGGCCTGAGGTCGTCACGGAGGTGGAACATCTCCTCCTCCACCGGCGTAACGCTCTTGGTCAGCTCCTTGAAGTGGCGCCACTCCCTCGGGTCCAGTATGACGCTGGGGGAGCGAGCGGCAGAGGTGCTGGTGAGGACTGGTCGGGAGCCAGTGCCACCCTGGCATCTCCCCAGGCACGCGGGGGTGACCCTGCTTCGGCCCCCACCTGAGCTCGGGGTGGTCGACCTCGATGGTCACGGTGTGCTGGACGCCGTAGGGGTTCTTCAGGGCGAACTCGAAGAACTCGGCCGTCCCCAGCACGGCATGCACGGTGTGGGTGGCGGTGATGGCCTGGCTGAGCATCCGGGAGATGCTCTCGCCCTTGACGCGCTCCCGGTAGGCATCGATGATCTGCAGGTCCCGCAGGTGCCGGGCACGCTGCTCCTGCCAGCCCTGCCGCGAGGGAGGGGACCGTAAGCCCAGAGCCACCACCGCATCCCCGTCCCCCGGCACCCCTCTCCTCACCGAGAGCTGGGGCGTCCTCCCGCCGCCGGCGTCCTCCTGCTGCCGCACCAGCGCCATGCGCCGCAGCTTGCGCCGGCGGGCAGCCGTGGCCTCGCCGGGGACAGCCGGGGGGGCCAGCCTCGCCTCCGGCCGGCGGACGCACAGCGCGGCCGCCAGCTCGCCGTCCACCTCCGCCAGCCTCCGCGCCCGCGACACCCGCCCGCCTGTGGGGAGAGAACACCGAGGCGCCGACAAGGGACCCCCAATTAGCGTGGCCCTGAGGGACCCCCCCCACGATGCCGCCAGGCCGGCAAGGGGAGCGCCGGAGGGGGCAGCAACCCCGCGGCTGGGGGCACGGCGGCAGAGACACCGCCAACCCGAACCCACGCCAGGGGGATGGGCCGAGCCCCAGCCCGGCAGGACTCACCGACGGCGGCCTTCAGGGAGATCCAGCTGCCGGCTGGGATGCTGCCAGCGCCATCCGGCGCAGGCACGACGCGGGAGCGGGACGGCGGCTGCCCCGGGGTCTCCTCGCATGGGTGACCTGCCACGAGCAGAGACGAGAGTGAGCAGAAACCATCTGTTTTTCATCATTAAAAAATCTACTACAAATTTTTATTCTCGCGGCAGCGCTTTATAGACAATTTTTTAAAAAGCAGGAGCAACTATCTGGTTGCTAACAACTCTCTGCGAGCCCTACGGCACTCCCTCCAGAGCCTAGTGCTGCTACCACCATACAGCCGTCTGCCAGGAGACGGAGCAGCATCAAAAGCACAGTGCCATACTGAGTGAGTCACCACCAAGTCCCTCACCAGCTCCGGTTTTCCTTTCTGTGTTCCCCATCCTCAGGCTGCAGCCCCGCTCCTGCTGCCATCCACACTCCCGCAAAGGTTATGCCAAGCGGAGCTGGATGAGGCTCTAAACCCGCTGGGTATTTACCCGGCCTACAAATCCCGTCCCCATCCTTCGGGCAGGCGCACCAAGCTTTTCAATACTGTTTTTAACAACAGTATTTTGAAATTCAAACAAAGAGGACGGGGAAAAAAACAATCAAAGGGCGGCTGTTGTCCTGGTGCAGCATCTCTCCCTCTTTTGCGAGGTGCGAGTTAAACCTCTCCCTGGGTTGTGAATCTGATTCTCCTTCCCAGGAGCTTATCGTCCCTTTGCAGGCAAAGTATGGAAATGACGATTTGAGATATCTTATAATGGAGCTAATCTTCCTTCTGAAGATAAGATTTTAAAACCTGGAGTCACTGCACATTTCTAGGATGGGGAATTAAATACATAAAATAAAAGCAGCCAGCGGGTTTTGGGAAGAATAACATTCTTACAAGTGTGGTTTTCGTTGAGGTACAGCCCTGTGCATCTCTCCCACAGCCCCGTGCTGTTTGCTAGCACCTAACCGCACGGCGCTGCCGTCCCCGCACCGCCGGCCTCCCCGCTGCCTTCTGCCGGCGTTTGCAGCCAAGGAGGAACCGCAAGCACAACCAGGAGCCACACGGCTCCACTCGCAGCCCAGCGGCACCCGGAGCCGAGCCGCGCTGGTGCCAGGACGGGGGCTCTGACCAGCACCGGGGGTACCCGGCGAGGCGTGTGTGCCACAAGGGTGCCGGTGCCAGCACCCAAGGCTGTCGGCTACTCTCTTACCGACATTGGCTAGGCAGAGGTGGAGGCGGCCCCTCACCGCCACGCGGACGCCGAGGGGCCGCAGGGCGCCGTGCCGCAGTGCCTCCCGGCCCATCACCGTCACGTCTGGCTCGTACTCGGTTGTGGCCACCTCCAGCTCATGGTGGGTCCTGACGGCCGCCCGGCCCTGGCGCAGCAGGGGCTGGGGACAAGGCAAGGACCGGTGAGGGGTAAGGACGTCTCTGGATGTCCTAGGTCTGGGGAGGGTTTAGCCCTAGAATACTGCAGGATTGCCAGGGCAGTGGAAGAAAGTTAACGTTTTGCCACCACTTTTGAGAAAAAGATGACAAATCCCACAATTAGGGGCTTATCGGGCTGGCATCGGTCTCGGTTACACAGAGGGGCTGCGAGCAACTCGGTTACTAAAGAGGCAATCTCAACGTGGGACCAAAAGAAAAGTCAGGCTCTTCCTTAACATTCCTGCCTGCTAAGCAGGGGGTCTCCTGCATCGTTAGCAGTCCTGAGGGCTTAAGGGGAAAGACCTTCAATTTCACCGATACCTCCAGTTTAACAGCAGCAGACCCAACCAGGAGCAGGGAGTCTCCGTCCCAGACGTCAATCTGGAGGCTGTGCTCGGCCAGGTACCGCACAAACCAGAGCTGCTCCCCGGGTCGCAGGAAAGCGGGATCCACCATGTACTTCAGCTGCAAGCCCGGCGGTCCTGCGAGACACGCGGCATCGTCATGGAAATGGAGCTTCTGCCGACAGCAGCACATCAGCCAGGACGGGGACACTCTTCTGCTCTGGAGAAGCCTGCCCACTCACATCCCTGCTCTCCTCCACTCAATGAACCCATCGGTCAACTAGTAAGGTCCAAGGTCCGCCGGGACTGCACCCGCCCCCCAGAAGCACTCAGTCTGTACAGACCCCCCTCCATTTCCATTAACAGCTCCATGTGGAAAAGGAGCTTCCCCAGCCACAAGTGCTTGGTGTCTCTCAGGACCAGAACTTAATAAGGCACAGAAAGAAACAAAGAGCATTCAGCTAGGAGGATCAGAGCCGCTCGCTCTGGGCACTGCGCTCTCACGTGCCGCCTTTCTTTTCAAAGGCGCTTAGCTGCAGCGGCAGCTGGCAGCCTCGACGTGCAAATTGTGCCACCAACACTTCCCGGCGTTCTACTTCAAATGTTGGACATTTTGAACGTTTTTCATGATGTGCCATGCAAACTAGCGGAGGCTGGCTATCAAAGCAGACGCCAGCCCGTTCCTCAGCCCACAGGCAAGCCCAAAACTGACTGATGGGAGAGGAGCGGCCGCACGAGGATGCTAAAACCGGAGCTCACCGGTGCCAAGGGTCCCGTCCTTGTTCACCCGGATAAGGAGCTGCGCCGGCACAGCCGCCAGCCCTGCATCCGTGCTGACCAGCTGCAGCCGCGGCGTGGTGACGGGCGGGAAACGGTAGAACTGGAAGGTGAGGAAGATGGTCCTCGGCCACGTCCCCTCCACACCATCCTGGGCATCCCTTCAGGGAGAGAGAGGGGTTTGGGTTAGCTCATGGCGCGGCGCTGCCTCGCCATCACGAGCAACTAGTGCGTTTGGCACGCACTGAAAGGCAGAAGAACAAGAGAAGATCGGCAGCATCACAAGTATTTGGACTTCTCTGAAGACAGCGGGCATATGGTTTGCCTTGGCTTTCCAAAAAGCTTCACAATTCCAGCTGTCCTCCGCCATATGCTGTGACAGAGGAGCCCAGCAAAGGCAGCGTTTTACCTTCACAGAGCAGACTGCCGTCCACAGAAAAAACACAAGTGGGGCCTTATCCAGCCAAAGCCACCCCCACGGGTGCCAACTTTCTCAACTCCATATGCATTTATGGAGAAACCCTGCATTAACTAGCTTTTACATCACATTGTGGCTAATGGATACAATAAAAAAAATTGGAACGTGATTTAAGAGTGCCCGGAAAGGACAAGAGCATCATCGTAAAACCCTCCGGGGCTTTGCCTCCACGGCAGGCGCTGGGGGAAGCAGCACCTTTGCAAGGACTTCTCCCTCTCAAGCAGGGAAGCGGGTTGGGGGGGATTTTGGTAAAGGACTCTCCCCCAGGAGGCCCCCGGGATCTGCCTGCAGAAGGTACCACGAAGAGCTGCCATCCCACCTGCCGAAAGCCAGGAACTGCAGGATTATTTCGTTGCCTTGCAGAGGGTCGGCTTCCTCCAGCCGCAGGCTGAAACTCGCCGGGTCCACCGGCTCCGAGATTTCCACCGGTACCTGGTTGTGGTCCAGGATCTCCGGGAAGCCGGCGGCGTGCAGTCGCGCCAGGGAGGCACGGGAGAGCAGGGTGCGGGAACTGACAAGAGAAACGGGGGTGAACCGCACAGAATCAGCCGCGGGGGACCCCTGCGGGCCGGGCGATGGGGACACAGGAGCCCAGGGAAGGGCAGCCGAGCATCACCTGCCTGCCTGCAGCCCCACGGCAGCGATGGGCACCTGCAGCGGGGTGAAGGGCAGCGCCCGCAGCTGGTCGCCGGCACGGGGCTCCGGGTCTGGCAAGCCGAGGTCAGCCTCCAGGTGAGTGATCCCCCCCTCCTGCCAAGAGCCGCGGCCGCGCCGCGCCGGGGACTGGCCCCTGCTCCGCGCCGGGACCGACAGCTGGGACGCCGACAGCTGGTGGGAGAGCGGCAAGCCTCAGCGCCCGCGGCCCCACGCTGGGGGAGAAGCCCCCCCAAGGCGGGCTGCCCTGCGGGGACCCCGGCGTCGAGGCGGGCCAGCGGCCCTTCCCTGCTGAAGTGGCTCAGATGCCACGTGCTCCAGCATCGCCGCTCTGCCGAGAAGCGGCGCGGCACCTCTGCTTCTTATTTAGCTGCTGCACTTTCCCTGGCAAGGGGAGGGATGGGAAAATGCAGCAGGAAGATCAAACCGCTTAATGCGGTCTTATGAAGCGTTTTATTTCATCAAAAATATTTGTGTGCCTTGATCCTTGAATCAAGATATAAAAAAAGCATAAAGAGGGATCTCGGTATTCATAGCTCTCCTTAAATCCCAGTAGCTCCGCACGAAGAAACTGTGCGTCACTGTCAGCGTGTACCAGGGACAACAGTACTCAGCAAATCTGGGCTGTCAAAAACCAGAGCTGCCCTTACAAATACATTTGGGGTGTGAGAAGAGCTGAGGGACTCTCGCCCAGCACGTTATAGGCAGGGTCCCTTTTGCTGCCTCGGAGGAGGTGGGTTTGAGCAGGACGCTCGGCGCCTCTTGGCCGCAGCAGCCAGGAAAACCGGCAGAGGATGCGACCGGGAGCACATCCTCAGCGCGTGGGTCGTCCCCCGGGAACGCCGCTGCCTGCCACCCGCGTCCACGGCACTTACCCCCGGTCCCCGCGGGGAGGCCGCCATTCGCAGCGGGGCCTGCGGACCTGCGGAGAGGGACGGGAGAGATGCTGTAGCGGAGCCGTCGCCCCAGGCCCTGCCACTGCGTCTGTGACCTTCGCCAGTGAGCCCCCTCCAACCTCCCGCCAGCCCTTTTAAATTTGGGGGGTGAAACCAGCTCAGTGAGGTGGCTTACCATCTCTCAACCACTTATTTGACTTATTTTTCCAATACGACTGTTGCCTGGCAGGGGGGAAACATAGCACGTCTCCAGATCCAACCGTTATTTTGCTGGAATTAGGCTAACTCTGCCGCAAAAGGCAGCTCCTCCATCCCCAGACAGTGCCGCGGTTCCCTCCGGCCATCCGGCGCTGCCTAAGTGGGATGCTTAATGAGATGTGAAAGTTTTAGGATACTTAAGGTTTTCGTCGCTCCTCTGTTATTTCTTGTCACTCCCTTCATCTATTCGTGCGTTCGTGCCCTGAAACGGTACGAGCTTTATCGTGTTTATATTTGGCTGCTCGGCTCGCGCGCCGGCACAGCTGAGCTCGCTGTGCCGCTGAGCCGCGGGTCCTTCAGAGCAGAGCAGTCCAGGGGCATAGATGTTCTATCTCTGCATCCACGTGATGCTGAGACCTTATTTTGCTTTCACCACCACACATATTCTGGCTATTTCGTGCTGACTGCTGTGCAAAGCAAACCACCCTGTTTCCCTTACGTCTACAACATTGTTTTCTTTCAGTTAGGATGGCTTTGGCCAGTGTTAAGGAGATGATGGACGGATCCATCAGCACCACCGGCAGCTGAGCTGACAGAAGATGCGCTTGGCCTCCGCTGGCCAAAAGGGCCAGCTGGTGGCGTGTTTTCCAACGGAGCTCTACAAGAAGTTAACCAAACACTCATTTCAGCAGCTCGGAGCGCAGGCTTGCTCTCGCGCGTGGCCGCTCACCTCACAGCACGGCTCCAGGACCACCGCTGCACTTCCCAAGCTCTCCCCGTGCCACCAGGCCCCCAGAGCCAGGGAAAGGCCACGCAGCTCATCTCCTAAAATCACCCTGTTGGGGCATCTCCCCTCGCCGGGCACCCTGCCCGCACTCCAGCACGCTCCCTGCAAGCCAGAGCATGCCAGCCCAGTGCCGGGCTGGAAGCTCGCCGTCGGCGCGAGCTGGCTTTTCCCTTCACCGCACTGCAACTCCCTCAACATCCCGGCCGTCGCCAGCTGAAAGGCATCCAGGAGAACCTTTCAAGCAGCGCCAGGAAGGTACCAGCAGCGATGCAGCCACGTCGCAGAGAGCCTAACCCAGCGCAGCATCGCCAGAGCCCTTCATTTCACCCGTGAAGCTTTCCTGCTCCAAAGCCCCTTACACCAGCAAACCCAGCTCCTCGCCGGCAGAAAGCCAGGACTTGCTGCGGCAGAGCCATGGTGCCACTGCCATCTCGTGGAAGGCACAGCAGGTCCAGAGCCAGAGCAGGAACAGGCATCCACCGCGCCAGCTACCGGCTCACCAGAGGAGCTGGATAAGCTCGTAAAATGTATTTAAACACTGTCAGGTATCTGGAGCATCGCACCAAGACCTGCGTGGGCACCGGAGCGGGAGCAGAAGCGACGCTGCAGAGGAAAGGGAAGTTTTGTTTCCCATCAATCATGAAAGGGGGGATTAGACAGAAACAAGCCACAGATGATTTCCAGGAGCCGGGGGCATTGACTCAACTCCGTGCCCAAACTCAAGCCAATGGCAGTTTTCTTTCTGCCTCCAACACACACAGCACTGAAAGCCCGACCACCTGGCACCCCTGCACTATAGACACACAGACAGATAAATGTGAATGTGCACACACGCATACGCAGCCTGGTTTTTCCTGGCTAGACACTGGCACAGCCTGTGCAGGACGATCGAATGTGTGCTGCTGTCACGCTCCTTGAGCAGCAGCAGCACAAGATTATTATTTTTTTCCTCAGCCTATAATTGCCATCTCTCCTGTCCTCACATATGGAGGGATTCAGAGTCCAGAGAGATGAGCAGCAGCACTGGCAGAGAGCAATGCGCTGCTGGTGCAGCCGCTGCACCCATCCAGCTGCTCTGGGTGTTGAGCACCGGAGCCCAAACGCCATCAGCGCACCTGAAACAGGAACAGGCTGGTGCCATGATGGAAATCCTTGGGGATTTTGCACGTGGCTCAGCGCTACTGTCACAGAGGAATTTTGCAAGTTCAAAAGTGAGAGCTGAATTCAACTCGATGGAAACTTGGTTCACTCCAGTAATTCATAAACTAGCTTACTTGGTGAAGACGTGTTTTTTTTCTCCTGAGCAGACACCAGTGCCACACTCTGTATTTTAAATGTCAGCGATCTGGAAAACACTCACTCAGCGATGGCGTAGGAGGCTTCTCCGACTCGTCCTTGTCTTTACGTAGGATCTCCGCAGCAGTTACAAGATGTTCTTCCGAATCAGTGGAAACATAGAATTGGACAGTCCCAGACTCCACGTGCTTCCCCTGAAATTAGAAACGAAATACTTTTAGACAGCGTGCTACACGCAGCCACCCCCGTACCTCCGAGAGATGACTCCCTTGCCCTGCAGTCGGAGAAACGGTGGTGCAAGCCAGAGGCAGAGCTAGCAAGCGGCTGTACTTTAATTTCTGACCAAATACCTCTGTCTTTGCAGAGACACACACACAGCCCCTTGCTAACTCCACCCACCACCACCCGGTATAAGATTTTTACTGAGCAAGTTCTGCAGACACTCATCCGTCCTGGCCCGCAGCAGAGAGCAAACCGTGCAGCTTAGCACCACAGCCATATTTTGGCCACCCCGCCGTGACTCCTTCGCCCCAGCCCTAACCTGCTTTTGCTGATAAACACCTGGGAACGAGGTCTTTCTCTCGTACATGCGCATCTCGGAATAAACCGGCTCAGGTCACAGTGGCCTCCAAGAAATATCGCAATAACTGTGCCGACCAGCTACGTGGCAGCTCAGTCTGCCCGTTTGCCGTCACTGAAGTCAAGCAGCACCAGACACCGAGTGCGCTATCTATCGCCGTAGACGCTCGCTGGCAGGGGCTGGGGGGCTGCCGCCCTCCTCTTCCAAAGCCTCTTCATCCCCTCACAGATTTGCAGAGAGCTCCTCCATCGCCGGGGCACTTACAAAGGTTTTGGCAAAGAGCCTCTCTAACGGCAAGCCCGTCCAAGCACCGGCAGCATCCCCGTGTATTTTGCAGCGCAGAAGCGAGCCCTTACCTGTCGGGAGCTCCTGCCGCTCGTCGGGGTCTGGTAGACCAACGTTTGGCAGGGGCCGCGGCAGGCTCCGCCGCGCAGGGGCAGGACCACCTCCGCCTCGCCGGCACCCAGGACGGGGCTCCAGATGGCCCAGCGCACCGAGCGTATGTCGGCCGTCTCGCCGTGGGCGCTGCCGGGCAGGGCCTGGGTGGGGGACAGGGGGGAGCGTGGTGAGTGCCGAGCACCCCGCCTCGCCGCGGGATGGAGGAGCGGGTGCTGCCAGACAGATGCCAGCTCTCATCTCCCACTGCGCCTTCCCGCACCCAGCTCCGGCATCACAGAAACCGCTCCCCCTCCGCCTGTTCTGGAGACATTCCACTTTCCAGCACCTTATTTCTCTTTCTGCACCCATTTTCTGCCCCCCACCACCAGCCACACCTTTCTGCTCCCATCTTTTTGCAGGCTCTGAGGAGCACCAGGAATGCTTCTCTGATGGAGAGGGACACATCGATCCCAGGGAGGGGATGCAGGATCGCGAGACCTCTCAGTGAAAGAGCACTGAGCTGGCCTGCACGGTTTTGAGGTTTGCTTCTCTTCCCTCTGCCAGCAGCGCCGCAGGCAGAACCGGCACCTTCCTACATGATTTCACCTCCTCAAGGCTGACCACAAACTCACAGCCACAGCTGCCCACAGGCACAAATCCCACTTTCTCCCTGTAAACCCTGTACCACCCTTCCCCACACAGGCACACTGTTTTTTCTTGCATATATCCCATTTACTCAGCCCATCGCTGAGGTTATTCCCCTTCCCGCAGCCTGCAGCTGCAGTACGGTAGGCACCCGTGCTCCAGGTAACTGCACCTCATCCCTTCACCAATTATGCAAGCGACTATACCTCTGTATTATGGATCAGCATAATATAATGCTGATATAATGTAAAAGCATGATATAATGCTTTTCAAACCTAACAGGGTTTTCATCCCTTGTATGTATTTAGCAGACGGGAAAGGCAGCGTAAAGGCTTCCACTTACCCAGGTGCGTCCACAGCCTCCCCTTAAACCGAAGGAGAGGTGCAGAAGCAAACCAAGAGGTCTCTATTTGCGCCCGCAATCGCCCTCGCAGCCTGCTAATTATGGCACAGAGGACAAGGCGATCAGCTCGGCAAGCGGCTTTGGGATTAACTGCTCTGCCCAAGGGTTGCACCGCGGGAACCGGCTCCACCGCCACCCGGCCAGCATTCCCAGCACCCAGCACAGCCAAACAAATAGATCTGCGTCTGGAGCCCCAGGTGTCCGTGGGTCCTCGGGTTTCAGCTTTTTAAAGGAGTTGAACCCCACATATAATCTCCGGCAGCAAGGGTCAGCTTCTCCTCCCCGCCTCAAGAGAAATCCCTCTGGCCTGGCACATGTGTCCCACTTTATAAATACCCATTTCCCCCGCCAAGTTTTGCTCTGGACAGCTCTAACAAGAGAGGACACTTGAGCATTTTCAACGAGCACGATTCGGGCCTCCTAAAGAACTGATGGCCATTGATTCAGCCACACTATGAGCTAATGGCTCCAATAGTAAAGGGGCTCTGGAGGGGACTACGGAAGGGCTCGCTAAGCTGGGTTTAACCTGGGGAAAGGTTAAACTGAAATACGTGTAAATGATTGGTAAGTAGGCGTTAGCGAGCGTGTTCTCTGCAGCCAATACAGAGACTTCTGGCTTTAAGATCCGGAGAACATCAGGCTGAAGCTCCCAGAAAAACACAGCATTCAGAAAAGAAAAAAGAGCGGGAGGGTTAACTTCTTTTTGACATAAATGCTAAATTCTAAAGAAAAGACTTTTTTAAATTAAAAAAACCTGAAATATTCCAAATTAGCTTGCCAGAACACTATGGGACTGCTGCAGGCTACACTTTTCCATATACATATACACAGTGGAGAAATGTAACCACATGTAATTAAAAGGACTCAGTAAGCCATTTGCAGGATATTTTTTGCAGCGCTGCGGAAAGCACCTGGACACTTTGTGGGGCCATTCGCTGGACACTTTGCAGGGCCATTCATTAGGCAGCGCAACCCTGAAATGAGGAGCCCCTGCATCTTGGAGGCACGGGATGGTGAAATGGGAGCAGAGGACAGAGTTACTCAGCAGGGCTCGCTCCCCCAGCGTCAGATCTCCACTCTTTAATAAGGGACAGAGACGAGGCGCACGCACGCTCAGCCCTACCTTCCCGCCGGCTCTCCCCGAGGTGCAGAAGACATACTCCAGCTGGAAGCAGACCCCAAACGCTGGGTGAGGGACCATTTCGCTCAGGTGGATGCGGCTCCTGAGGACCAGGGCTTGACCTGCACCCCTGCACCGGGATGGAGAAGCGGCTGTCAGCAGCACCCGAGGCAGGAGGGAAGCGGCACCGGCAGTGGAGGGTCTCCCCCTTACCTGGCTCCGGAGCTGGGCACCCCCGGGCAGCCAGCCCGCACCACCTCCGCCTCCGGCACCAGCACGGCGACCTGCGGCACCTGGACGAAGCGCAGGCCATTGTGGACGCCGACGTGCAGCCGCCGCTCCCGAACTGCCACCCCGTCGCCGTCCGGCGCAGCGTTAGCCTGCGACAGGTAAGTTTTTCAGCTCGGGCAGCGAGGCGGCACAGGGCGGCACAGCATCCCTCCCTGCACCGCCCGCGGCCAGGAAAATTCAGGCAATCTGTCAGAAGCTCAAAAAACAGGACCCACCCCCCCAGCGGCTGATGGATATTAAAATCGTTCATCTTTATGGCAGAGTTGGCACAAATCTGGCAAATAAAGAAGGACTCGGCCAGCAGTCCTTACTGGGCACCAAGCGCTGCTGTTCCTAAAGAGACATACTCAATGCACTGCACTTTATCTTTGCATTTTCCATAGCAGAGCAAACCCGAATGCTGCTTATTAGCGTCTGGATGTTCAAAACAAAGCCTACACAGAGCACCTGCATGCTAATCCAGCCACAAAGCACGCAAGAGGCTTGCACAGCAAAAAAGAAAAAAAAGCCAAAACAAAAGATTGGAGACTCCAAGCAAAACAAATATGCAAGTGCCATTTATCTGAACCCTTCCACTCTGCCCGTAAACGAAGCGCCGGCATTACTGCTCGTGCACTGTGCCTTCCCCTGCTGTAACTGCATCGGCAGTACCTGAAGTAAACGATCGCTGTTCAGTAAGTCCAGCAGTTCTTCCTCAAATTCCTCCAAGGAAGGGTACAGCCGGACGGACAGCCTCTCCAGATAGCAGGTGACCGGCTTCATCAGCCGGGGTTTCTGCAAGCAGTCACCTGAAGAGACAAGGTGGCGGCCACAGGTCACGCTGCAGCCGGGGGGACGATGCTGGGAACGCAGGCGCACCCGCAGCCAGACCCGAGCCGAAAGCAACACCAGGGAGAGGTCGTGGCCGTGCACAGGCTCTCTGGCCACGGGGCCACCACCTTTATGTGGACGTGGGGTGTTTGCAGAGACGCACAGTGAAACGTTCCTGCTTCACCCAGCTTCCCTGGCACATACACGCCTTGACGCCAGGGAGAGACCCAGAAATACCTAATGCCTTTGGTGTCAATGGCTGCAATCTGTTTACTTAATAAAGCCACCGCCACTGCAGTGCTGAGGTGCCCTGCAGTGCAAGACGCTGGCTCCCCCCTCCTTCTCAGCAGCACTGGGGACTCGGCTGCTTTGGAGACCTTGCTCAGCTTTAACGTCAACAGTTACAACCCCCAAAACGGTTAGCAGTAGGGTTTTTCCGGCAGTAAGCTGAAGAATAATTCTGCTCCAGAATTGAGAGTACTTTTTACCCTCTGAATCTTCAGATCACACAATTTTAATCGCAGCAGCTCAAACAGCAAGGCTGCTACCCACAGGGGAAGATTAACAAGGGCTGAGCGTGCAAGGGCTCGTCCCCCCGAACCTGCCAGACCCCCAGTGATCCCGAGCCCTGCCACCAAGGAGGACGACTTTAAACAAGTTGCAAGGGCTTCTCCTAAGACGCCGCTAAACAACTGTGATTAAACCAACCATCACTTATCCCTAGCAGCTTCCCAGGAGCGAAGCAATTAATGGAAGAACAGACCGAAGCCGTTTTGACATCTTTCAGGATAAGCTATGAACACAAGGGCTGCAGCCCCACTGGCGGAGCGGAGATGCTCTCGCCAAGGGGCAGCACTGCAGAGAACCCATCGGTGCTCCCAGAATCACCATGCCAGCGCCCTGCCTGCCCTGCCCGCAGCCTCCCCAGGGACCTGCTGCCTTCAGCAGGAGCGGCACAGGCAGCAGGGAAAGGGAAGGAGCCCTTACTCGCATCTCCATGCGCTGGCAGCAACCCGGGAATGGTCTGCAGCCCAGACACCAGCAGGTTTTCGGGAAGGAGGTGAAATATCGTCTCCAGGGGCTGGTGGGTCTTCAGGGCATACTGCAGGTGGCTCTTCTCCATCACCATCAGGTATTTGTTCTCTGAAGAAGAGAAAACATCCCAAAATGACCAAAACAGGGTAGGAGACACAGCTTCGCAGCACCACTGTTGAAGAAATCATTATCCACGAACGCACATGTTGGGAGCAAAGGAAAACCTGGGTTTGCCCGGCCAGGCTTTTCCCGGCTGGCAGTAAGGCATGTCCACTTAGCACTACCAGGGCACGGACCACAAATCGCATCGACCGGACACACACGATACTCATTTGGATAAGAGAGGCTGCCAAGAAAGGAGTGAGACGCAATGTCTTGGAGCTGCTTACTTTCCATGGGGTCCTGGAAGCGCGGGTGCAGTAAGGCACGCGGCGTCCCATGGTACAGCTTCAGTCTGAAAGCAAAGAGCACAGGCGCAGTGGTTAGTAAATCCACCCTGAAGCCCATCTTCGTCTTCCACAATGCCTCCGCTCAACAGTAAGAAATCACCTTCCTGCTCTGCACCCGTGGTAAAAACCCTGTCCTTTATGGAAAGGACAGGCATCACTTACAAACCCATTGCTGCTTCCCCAGCCATGAAGAATTCCAGGTTTCTAAACACTGGCTTTGTTTCTGCAGCCCCAGGACCACTCTTTCTCCCCCCCCGAAGCAGCCGTGCACATTGCCACCCCAATTCCCGGCATGCCCCATCACGCGGCGGCGGGCGGACCTACGCTCTGTCCTCAGCGGCCGGATCCGTCGCCTCCGACCCGCTGCCAAAGAGGGGGATGAGTCCAAAGCCACAGGAGAGATGCCGAGAGCCCCCGTCCCCTTTCCCGGCCGTCGCCACCACTTCCACGACGGCGGCGATGCCGGGGTGGTTCAAGGAGGTGTGGAAGTAAACGGTCTGAGACAGGAAAAGGAGAGAGAAAGGGTATTTCAGAGGTGGTGGCGGCAGCTGCGGGCAGAGCAATAGCTGTTGCATTTGGACAGCCAGCAGCCCAACCACACCATCCATCAAAACTTCCAGGCAGCAGCTCACGGCAAACGACCTCCAGCACCACTCGGAAATCTCAACCTCCTTAAATCTCAAACATCATTAACTTTTTTTTTTCTTTTTTTTTTTTTTGTTGCTAACACCCATTTTCCACAGGCTGCGGACCCCATAAGAGCAGGGCTTTGATGCGCCCCTGACCTACAGCATCATAGCAAGGCCCACACTGGGAAAGCCAAAGGAGCTGGAAGCCCTCCTGCCGCAGGGCGGGGAGATGGGGGTGGCCCGAACCTGAGGGCAGGAGGGGACGGGACACAGGTCACCTCCCCGGGACAGGATTTAAAGCTAGGTTAATCTTTCTGTTAAAAACTCATTACCACAGTGTCCCAGGGAAAACGTTTACTGTAATCACAGGCTGTCAGGAAGGGATAACGGAGAGAGACATTACCGTGTCAACCCAGGGAAATAAATCGTTATTCTATTATCTTTTATTGCAAAACGTTGAAGTAATGACTGCTGGCTGCAGACCGATGCCTTGCCTTGCAAAGACACGGACAGCCCTTAGCGGATCCCTTGTAAAACCAGGCTTGCTGTTCCTTTTGTGAACGCTAACACCACTTTACGACAGCTCACTCCTCTCCCCTAAACCCTACGAGGACGATGCAGCGCAGGGGTCACCTTAACCCACCACACGTGCGGACCCCGTCCCCTGCCCCCTCCTCCGGTGAAGCTGGCGAAAGTGCAGGCAGCAGCACGTGCAGGCAGAAGCTCAGCGCGTGGCCTGTGCAGGCAGAGGATGCAATGCCCCCGCACGCTGCCAGGTCTCACGAGGCGGCTCTCTAGCAGCCAGCAGCTTCTCCTGCACGAGGAGCAGCGCCTTTCCCCCTTCCCTCACCTTCCACACATCGATTGCCTCTGCACCCGAACTCTTTGCGACGCTGAACTGCTGAGTATCATGAAGTTAAAAGATCCCAGTGCTCAGCTGCAACGCAGGCTGCAAGACCCCGAGCACTGCGGCTGCACCATGAGCGTGCTGGGTGGGCTGCAGGGGATGGGCAATGCAATTCAGCGACTGCAGAGAGGCTGTGAGATGCAGTCCCCTAACACCCCAAAGCTCCTGCCAACTGCTCCCAACCGTACGCCAAACACCCAGGAAGCCTGCGGACATAGGGATGGTGCTTGGAAAGGCATCTGGCGAGGTGGGGAGCGCCACCACATCGCTCTCTCCGCAGCGCGCTCTGCCATAGTTTTTCTGCATCCCCCTTCAAAAAATGAGGGGTTGGCCAGTAATTAAAATACTCAGGGGAGAAATGCACACGTCAGTGCCCCTCAGATACCGCTACCGATTTAAATGAATGAAGGAGCATGGTGCTAATCTGTGCCACACTTCATCTGCAGCACCGGAGGAGGTGGAAATAAAAGGTATGAATTAGAAAATGTGACATCTCAGCTGTCGTCCCCACTATGGGGCAGCGGGATCTCCCCAGTAAGGGGGCACCCTGGTTTGCGGGTATCAGCAGCAGATGGAAGCATGGCTTTGAGTGAGTTAAGTTCCCAGGTAAGGGAAGAAGGCGAGAAGGTGAGAAAAGCGCTGTGTCGTTCCCTTCCTTCCCACTCGTGAAGAAACACTGCTCTCTGCCGCCGGCTCTGAACACAGCAGGCGGCACAGGGTGGCACGCCGCTGCTCCCATGCCATCACACAGCCCTGGGGGTAACCCAAGAGCCCAATTTCCCCATTCCAATAAACCGTGCATAAAACCTTAAGAAGTGGGCTGTGTCTGGGGTGCACCCTGGGCAAAGGATCAGGAAGGGAAAAGGGTTTGCTGCTGCTGTCTGCCTGCGTGCAGGAGAACGAAGCCCCGCAGACGAGGCTCAGCAGCAGACGGATCGACCATGGGCCAGAGCCCGGGCATGCTTCGGACTTGCCGCTTTAAAAGGCTCACGGCTACGGCGTTGCTGATCGCAGGCTCCCAGAGCTCTCCGAGCTCTGCTTCCACAGACTGACGGAGCCAAACCAGCACCAAAGGAGAGCGGCTCCAGGCTGAACTCGAGCAAAGACGGCTTTTCCCTTCACGTATTAAAAACCTCCCTCCTCCGACTTGACTCCTGCAGCTCCAGCCGCCTCCCGGCGGGATCGCCGCCCCTTCCCAGGGGGCTGCCGGCGTTTTCCCAGACCCAGCCAGCACGGCCGCTCCCCCAGCACCCTACCTCGTTGAAAGCCGCCCTGGCCGGGCGCGGCGGGGCGGCACGGGCAGCTCGCCGGCTGCTCCTCCACGTCCTCCCGAAGAAGTGGTGGTACGTGGCATCAAAAAGGGAGAGGCGCAGCTGGTACTCGGCTCCCTGCAAGGCACGACAGGATGGGGACATGCCAGCTCAGCGGCCCCCAACGCTGCAGAAAACACACTTCAGTAAGAGGGGACAAACAATTCCCGTTTTTGAATCGATGCCCAAATCAGGCCAGCGGCCGCGGACAGCTTCGTGCATTGCTGGAGAACCTGTCGGAACGGCAGAGGTTGAACAAGCAAAGCAGAAGCGGGAAAACTGAACGTTAAGCATCTAATAAAGGGGTAGCAGACTTTTAGAGTGCTCCCCGGAGATTTTACTTTAAAAGTGCTCACCTAGATTAAAAACTAACAAAAATTAAAGTGTTTTTAATTAAACACTAACCCAGATTTGCAGGTAAAAACCCCTGGGATTGAGACACGGCTCTGATTTGTGTTTCCGGGAGATTTACAGTTAGTTCCCCCCAAAACAAGTAACCTTGTCTTGAAAACCTCCGCCTTCGTGAGCTCCGGCCGGCAAACACAGCAAATCCCGTCCGGCGGTGGGGAGAAAGCAAGGGCTCAGCGAGAAGACACTGCTGGGCTCTCCGAGTCCCCCCTACCTGGGTGAGGGCAGCCCCTTCCAGGTACTTCAGGACGCAGCGGAAAGCCGTGGAGCCCGGCCGGCGAGTCCGTCTCCGCTGGCAGTGCGGAGGAAGGACGACGTTCCGCAGAAACACCCTTTCCCACTCGCTCATCTTGCTGCCCCGAAGGTCGCCTCTCCCTCCCGGTGTCGGCTAGGGCGAGCACTCGGCTGGAAAACGGAGCCGGGAAACGCGCGCTCCAGCCAACGTGCTCCAAGGCCGTGATGCCACGCGCGCGGACAGCCACGACGGGACGTGCCATAAAGGGGCTCTGGGTTCCCATGGGACGCGCCAGCCTTCCCTGGGAGCGGGCGGCTCGATGGGGCGCAGCTGCAGGGTCCAGCGCAGGTCCCCCCAGGGGGCGGCACCCACCGCTCCTCCCGTACGAGTCGACCCGCGGACATACGTGCGCGCGTGCCCGCAGAGACCCGTACAGGGACGCGCTTCTGCGCACGGACACGGGAAACCCACGGACACGCGGGCACGTGCCCGCAG